TATGTATTTAATTTAAAATTCCATTAATTGCCTAAAGTAAAAAAATAACAAAATTGTGGCATTTTAGTATATACAGAATTAAAATATATGATAGCAAGACTAGCAAGGTTCTGAGAGGTAAATGAAAGAATAGTGTTGAAAAGTTATCACATTGTTCCTAAAATAGATCTATTATTTGAAAGTAGACTATGGTGAGTTGAAGATGTATATTATAATCCCTAGAGCATCACTGTTCAATAGAGTACCCACCAGTCACATGTTGCTATTTAAATTTGAGTTTAAATTAACTTAAAATTAAATAAAATCTATAATTATTTTCCTTGTTGACTGCACTGGTCACACTTTGAATGGTTAATCACCACATGTGGCTAGTGCCTGCTATATTGGACAGCACAAATATAGGACATATCCGTCACTTCAGAAAGTTCTACTGAACCAAACTACACTAGAAAAAGAGGCGTAACTAGAAAGCCAATGGAAGAGACAAAATGGAATATATTATCTCTGAAAAGAAGATGATAAAAGATGTATATAAAAATATAAAGAGGACAAAGCAAAAAAAAATCAAGATGGTCGACATAAACACATCTACATCAATAATTATATTAAATATAAAAGGGTTGAACATTCCAAATCAAAGAAAGAGCTTGTCAGAATGGATAAATAAGCTGTTCATAAGACACAATTAAAATATAAAGGCACAGACTAGATGAAAGTAAAAGAATGAAAAAGAGCATACCATACAAACACTTAGCACAAGAAAGATGGTATGGTTTACATTACTATCAGACAAAATAAACTTGAAGAAAAAAAACTGTTACCAGACAACGACAGCATTGCGTAATAATAAAAGGGACTGTTCATAAAGAGGACATAACATTATAAATGTGTATATACCTATTAGAGAGGTTTGAGATACACAAAATAAAAATTAATAGCATAAAGGGCAAAAAAATCTACAATTTACAGTCATAATAGAGGTTTTAATACCACTTTATCAGCAACTGATTGAAGAGGTAGATAAAATCAACAAAAACATAAAGGACTTGAACAATATTGTCAACACTGACCTAACTAATATTTATAGACTACAACACCCAATAGCAGCAGAACACTAATTCTTTTCAAAGTTTACATGAAACACTCACCAAGAGAGCCCTTATGCTGATTGTTAAGTCTCAATAATTTTAATTTCAAAGAACTGAAACTCTACAGAATATGTTCTCTGACCATAACAGTATTAAATTAGAAATCAATAACTGTAAGATAAAGAAAAACCAAATACTGGAAATGAAGCAAACATACCTTTAAATAACCCCTGAGCAAAAACAAATCTGTGATTTTTAAAAATATCTTGAATGGACTAATAATGAAAACTTAACATATTAATATCTGTAAGGCAGGGCTAAAGCACAATTTAGATGGAACTTTACAGCTTTGGACAACTAAATCAGGAAAAAGGGGGCAAAAACAATAATCTGAACCTCTACCTTAAACAGTTAGACAAAGAATAGGAACCAAAGTAAATAAAAGTAAGGAAGTAGTAAAGAGTGGAAATCAGTGAAATAACAAATGGACAACAATAGAGAAAAATCAACAAACTATTTTTTTAAAGTTAATATCATTGATAAACCCCTAGAGAAAGAAAAAAACCCACATTTCCAATATTAGGAATAAAAGAGGGAATAGCAATATAGACTCTACAGATATTTAAAGCATAATAAAGGCTACATTATAAAAAAAAGTCAATAAATTTTAAAACTGAGATGAAATGGACCTATCCCTTTAAAATAAAACAGAACTATAAAGTTCTTAGAAAAAAATAGACTATCTTCACAACCTTGAGGTAGGCAAAGATTTCTAAGACATAATAAAGCACTAACCATAATAAAAGATAAACTGTATATAATCAAAACTTCTGCCAACTAAAAGATACCACTGAGAAAACGGTTAGGCAGGGGAGAGACTGAAAAAAATATTCATAATACATATATATGACAAAGGCCTTGTGTCTACAGTATATGAAGAACTTTCACAAATCAACAATAAAAAGGCAAAATCCGCTTTTTTAAATAAGGAAAATATTTTAATAGATACAACACAAAAGATATACAAATATCCAATAAGCATAGGAAAATATCTTGAACATCATTACTCATCAGGGACATAAAAATTAAAACCACAATGAGAGGACTTGCACTACTGGAATAGCCGGGCAAGGACCTCTGAAAATCCACTCATCCATAAAAGCAATGGCAACCCTGGCAAAAATTATCAAAATTAAGTTTTTCAGAACTCTAGAAATTAATAAGAGACTTTCAACAATCTGACAAGCATTTTTCCAAGAAAAATGGGTGAACCTTAGTATGAACTATAAGTTTTGTGGTCTTTTAACTTGCCCTGTTCCCATCTCTTTCCCCAGCTCTGTGGTAATCTTGAATACCAACCTCCTACAACCACTGAAGGGGACAGAACAGGGTTACAGCTTCCTAACCGTCCCAGCCCTAGAAAACTACCCCTACTTGACTTCTCTAACAGCTCCCTGAAAAACTCCTTTTTTAGAATTTGACTTCATTTGACCCACTCAGAGCTCCCAGTGTGCAAACACCACTACCCCAGGGTGTTTGTCAAAAAATTAAAAAATAAAAAAAAATCAACAACTGTTTAACATCTCAGCTGTGTGAGGCACCAAAACAAGTTGGAGCTAACGAAAGGATGACCAAAACACAAACAAACAAACAACTTAAAAGGAAAAACTGGGAATAAGATGTCCAAAGGAAGGCTTGAAAAACTACAGTGTATGTCTAGGAATCTAGAAGGCCATGCACATGTCTGGGAAAGTTCCGAGAAGGGCCTAATGGCTCACCTCTGGCTGACACTGAAGCTTTGCACAAGCAGTAAGACATACTTAAAAGCTGCCTCTGGAGCTTCACTGGAAATCATGTCCAACATGCACACACAGGCCCTGGTCAAAAACTAGAACAGATTTCTTTGAGGCATTTAAGAAATCTCTGTCCCATTACTGGCAGGCCAGTAAGCTAACTGAGCAGAAACTTCAGTGGCTGCACATGACAAAGAGCACAGATTTCAGAAAAACAGTCTACATACATCATTAAACAAACAACTGGAGCCAAACTAAACCCTAGGCAAGGAGGGGAAGCTGATGTCCAGAGTAGTCACATTATACTATTTAGTAAGTCTACTTTTCAAAAAAAAAAAAAAAAAAGGTAAGTAACACAAAGAAACAGGGAAGTACAGCATACACAGAAGAAAAAAACAGTCAATAAAACTATCTTTGAGGAGGCCAGACACTGAACTTAGTAGAAAATACCTTAAATTAGCTTTTATAAATATGTTCAAGAACCCAAACAAACCATGTCTAAAAACTTAAAGTATGACAACAATATCTCACTAGAAAATATCAATAAAGAAAGAAATTATAAAAAAGATTCAAATAGAAATTCTAAAGTTAAAAACTACAATGAGTGAAATGAAAAAAATCACTAAAGGGCCTCAACAACAGACGTGAGTGGGCAGAATAATCAGCAAACTTGAATTTATTAGATTAGATTATCCAGTCTAAGAAACAGAAAGAAAAAAGAATGAAGAAAAATTAACAGGCCCTCAGAAACCTATGGTACACCATCTAGTATATTAACACACACATAGTGGGAGTCCCAGAAAGACAGAGAGGAGGGAAGAAATGATGTTTACAAAAGAACTCCCCCAAATTAATAGAAAACATTGATTTTGATATTGAGAGTAGGCAAATCTACAGAAGCAGAAAACATATTAGTGATTGCCAAAGGCTGGGGGTGGGGTGGGGTGTATACAGTTGTCGGAGGACGAAACAAGGAGTGACTGTTAATGGGTACGAGGTTTCTTTTTGGTATGATGAAAATGTTCTAAAGTTAGATGGGGCATGGTTGCACAACTCCGTAAACATATTAAAAACCACTGAGTTGTACACTTTAAAAAGGTAAATTTTTTTAAAAAGATAAATTTTATGGTATACTAATTATATCTCAATAAAGCTGCTATAAAACAAAAACCATGACAAGTTACTATTTCACACATAGCAGAATGAGTAAAATCGAAAAGACTAGAAATTCCAATGTTGGCAAGAATACAGAACATCACTGTTGGTCAAAGGGTAAAATAGCACAACTACCTTGGAGAATTGTTTGACAGTGTCTTATAAAGTTAAACAGCCATCCATCCTATGACACATCAGTTCAACTCCTAGTTATTTATTCAAGAGAAGTGAAAAGTTATGACTACAAGACTTGTACAGGAATATTCATAGCACCTTATTCATAAGTCTAAAAATGGAAACCCTCCAAATGTCTATCAACAGAACAGGTAAACAAATTGTGGTATATTTATACAATGTAATACGACTCAGCAATTAAAAACAAACTGATAAGTATGGGAACATGGATGAATTTCAAAATCATTATCTTGATAGAAAGAAGCCAAATACACACCAAGAAAAACTATACTATATGATCCTATTTATAGAAAGCTAAAGAACAGGCAAACCTAATCCATCATGATAGAAAAAAAAGAACACTGGTTTCCAGGGTAGAGCAGAGGGGAAGGGGCACAGAAGAATATTCAGAGGTGATGAAAGTAATCTTGGTGGTTATACAAGTTTATAAAATTGTCAAAACTAATCCAAATGAATACTTAAGATCCGTGCATTTTATTATATGTATATTTTATCCCAATTTAAAAAAGAAAGAATAGTACATGAAAAAATAAATGTTTTACTGAAATATTCAAGGGTGAAGTGATAGGATGTCTGGGATAGGTTTTAAATACTCCAGAAGAAAAAATGGGTATCAGTTAAAAGAAGATTGACATACATTGATAAATGTTCAAGTTGACTGGTAAGTACCTCATGTTTATACTATTTTTTTCTGGTCTTGCATATGTTTGAAATCTCCATAATGAAAAGTTAAAAGTTATTCATTCATAAATAAATGACTGTTTCTTACTGTAGTTCTGTGGCACAAGTTCTGGGCTCTTAGGAGTTTTCAACTTGTAGGATACATCTCCAATATTAACTGTATCGCCTAAAAAGAGAATAAGGAAATACACCATTACAAGAGACAAAACCATGCACTATGCCTTTCCCAACGATGACTGTCCTGCCCTACAGAGAAGGACTTTATAGAAATGCACCCACATCTGCCTGTGTTTGGCCGCATAGACACACCTGTCTGTGTCAACCACTATGCTCTAAAACTTGTAACCAAAGTGTAAGTTATATAATGGAAAAGGGAAGCATTGGTGAAATTCATATTTTAAATGCTACATTAGCAAAAAAAAAAAAAAAGTGAAGTACAATAGAATTTTATCAAATTATTTTCTCATTAATGACAATTTTCTCATTAATAGCAATACTAATAAAGTCAACAACAATACAGAAGGATGCATTTTGTTTAAGATCATCCAAAGCATCCATAAGGTGGCATCTTTACCACAAGTTACAACCTTTTTACATCCTTATAGGTTCTTATTTTTACTACATACAACTTCAAGTTCTCTAGCAACATAATCCAAAAATGCAGTATTTCTAGGAAAGCCCCAGCCTATATGCCAAAATTCCTACATGAAACAAGCAAAACAGGCAAAAGTTCCCACTTCTACATGATTCTAATTTTAAGTAACATTAATTTCTGGCTGATCTTCTAAAGTGCAGGACTAACCCAAACACTCTCTGCTTTGCTCTCTCCCACAGCAAAATAGACATACTGATCCCATCTGCACCTGGGACTTCATTTATAAAGGGCTCAACGACACTTAGAAAAAGTAGCTGTGTAAAACACAACTTTCAGCATTGCCAGTTGTGAGCTACTTAGGTATCCCAGAGACTAAGGCTTTATATCATCATAATAATAACAAAAGCAGCCAACATTTGTTGAATGATTACTATCTTCTAAGTACTTTATACATTCCCAGAATAACCATGTGAGACAGAGGCTTTACAAGTGAGGAAATCTGTAACTCTGTTAAAAAACATTAAAAAAAAAAGATTTTACAGATAAAGAAATGTATTACAGCTATGTGGCAAGTTGAGAGAAAACATCATGTAAAACACAGGTACACCTTCTAATACAGAAAACAAGTATTTTTAGAGTGTAAGTCAAAGGACTTTTCCTCTGAAGTAGTCTAGACATCAGCTAATACTTACTGAATCCTGGTTATTTGGCAAATATTGTTATAGACACGTTATTTATGTTACTTCATTTAATCTCGACTCTAAGTAACCTGTGGTTCCCACGAGTTATTTCATATAACTGCTCCAGCGGAAACCCCATCTCAAACTAGCTTAGTAAAAAGTCACCGGAGCTTCCGTGACAGCAGTACGTGAGGCAGCTCCCGGGAAGCGTGGGTTACTGGAAGAGACCTCGGCTCGGTAACTAGTCCACAGCATGGCACGAAGGCAAAGGAGAAACACAGCAGTCACACAAACAAAGTCACACCCCGGGAGAGGCTCACTGAGGTACCACCCCTGGCACCACGAGATCCACACCTGGGACACCACGACCAGAGGACAACTTTTTTCCCCATTTCATTTTGGTATTTCTCAGACCTGTAGAAAAGTTGGGGAAACATTATTTGAAGTTACAGAAATCATGATTCTTTATCTTTAATCTAGTCTTCAGATGCATCTTCTAGTAAGGACCCTGCCACAGGTAAACTGTGGTCAACTCTGCATAATTCCATCGTGACTCAAAGTCCTGGGCAGGGCACCTCGCTGGCCAAGCCTAGGTTACTACCCACAGCCCAGCTGCCTGGACTTTCCAGGGTAGAGTCGGGGCCCTGCCTCCTTTCAAGACTTACACCATAGGCGATTCCACCTCTTTCTCCCTCTCCCTCCCTCTCCCAGCTCCCTCTCCTCCTCTGTTTCCTTCCTCCCTCACCATGACTCCAAGTCTTCCTTGCTTGCTCTTCCTCTTCTCCTCAACTTCTCTTTTTCTAGCCTCTTTTCTATTCCACCTACCACCTCTTCTTGATGAGCTCATCCAGTCTTACACCTTCCGGTGCAACTAACATATTCCTGGCTCTCAAATTTGTACCACTAGCCCAGACCACAGAACTCCAAAGATGGATACCAACAGATACTGAGATGCCTAACATATGTTAAGCCTAACATATTCAAAACTGAACCTCTGATCTTTCCACCAAAATGTGCTCTACCCACAGTATTCCCCAGTTCTGCTAATGGCAACTTAATCCCTCCAGGGGCTCAGACCAGAAATCTTGGAGCCATTCTTAACTTTTCTCTCTCATTTCCTCAGAAAATCCCACAGACTCTGTCTTTTAAGATATATCTAGTATTGTCCACTTCTCACCACATTCTCTACCACCACAATGTTGACCCAAGCCATTGAGAGGTTTATTACTACTTAAACTCATTTTCTCATTTAAACAGTATTAACTCTCACCTACTGACAGATCTCCGGTCTCAACTCTTGCACCCTGAAGCTTATTCTCAACAGAGTGGCCACAGTGATAGTAATAAAATAGGAGTCAAGTAATACAAGTTCTCACTCAATCCTCATTGTTGCGATGGCCCAAAAGGCTATTCTGATCTGGTTCCCCCATTTCCTCTCTTACCTCATCTCCTGCTAGTGTCCTCCCAACTTATTCTACTCCAGCCACCTGGTCTCCTCACTCTTCCTTGAACACGTCAGACACATATTCATTTCAGGTTTTTGCACTGGATTTTCCGACTGACTGAAATGCTTTTCCTAAACATATCCGTTTATCAATCAGGGCCCCAGCAAAACAGACGGTACATTCAAACTGAGTAACTGAGGAGAGTATAATAAAAGAACCATTTGTGAAGGTGGGGCAGAGTTTAAGAAAACCAGCAAGGATAGCGCAGTGTCCCGGGACTAGCAATAACAGAAAGTCATTGCCACCACTAGGCCTGGAGGAGCCTAGTGCAAGCAGAGAGAGTAAGTAGAAAGCTTCCTAAAAGGAACTGTGACCCTTTGTGGAGGAACACAGCAAATCAATGGTAGTCAGACCTGGCAAGGAGTAAGCTGGGGGATAAACATGAAACAAAAATTGACAGAACTAAAAGTAGAACGAGGGGCGCCTGGGTGGCTCAGTTGGTTAAGCGACCGCCTTTGGCTCAGGTCATGATCCTGGAGTCCCAGGATCGAGTCCCGCATCCGGCTCCCTGCTCAGCAGGGAGTCTGCTTCTCCCTCTGAGCCTCCTCCCTCTCATATGCGCTCTCTCTCTCTCATTCTTGCTCCCTCAAATAAATAAATAAAATCTTTTTTAAAAGTTTTAAAAAAAGTAGAACGAGATAAATCCATCATCATATTTCGATATTTTAATATATATCTCAGTAACTGATGGAAGAGCGAGAAAAAGAAATAGGATAGGAAAGTAAGAATCATTTCTCAGCCTTTGGCTAAGATCGACTGGAAAATAGGATAGGGAAGACCTGAAAACACTATTAACCACTCAACATAAATGACCTTTACTGAACACTATACCCAACAAGGACAGAATATTCTTTTTAAATGCACATGAAACATTCACTAACTAGATCTTAGGCTGGACCACAAAGCAAATCTTAATAAATTTCAAAGGACTGAAATCATACAAAGTATGTTTTCTGATTAAAACGGAATTAAAAATCAGTAACAAAAAGATAACTGGAAAGTCTTTTGAACATTTGGGAATCAAGCAAAAGGCTTCTGAAGATCCAAAGAAGCAATCACAATGGAAATTAGACTTGTTAAGAAATAGGGTAGTGATCAATTAGTCATGTCTGCTGCAGGCAAAGAGAAAAAAATGACATTTGTCCTTCCTGCCTCAATGTTGATATTCTTGGCCACCTTCTGTTACCATGCTATGCTTTTCCTGAATCATCTAATCCATGCCAATGTCCCAACTCTGACCTCTGTACAACTAAAGTCTTAAGTGTCTCCTTTGGCTAAGATCTCTCTCCTGAGTTCCATGCCTATCAGTAAGCTACTGGACATGATACTTAACATATTCCAGAGATAACTTTAACATAAGAAAAATGGAACTCTAGATTTTCTGTTGTGTATGTCCAACCATCTCCAACCAGCTCTACCTCTTATATTCCTATCTCAGTGACTGATGCTTTATTCCCTGGCCTGAAAGGCCTTCCACATCTTTCTCACACCCCTTTCACTTCAGACAACTACTCCTCAAATATCCTCATCTTCCCATTGAACTTTCCCTAACTTTTCCTTTTGCATGCTCTCCACCTCCACCAAGAATCCCATTCCTGTCTTTCTGCTAGCATAGTATCTGGTTCATGTTTCTCACACTGTATTACAATTATTGACTATTATACCTCTACAATAAATGTCTTTAAATTAGGGTACACACTTTTTTTTAAATTTTTTTATTCTTATGTTAATC